GACCAAGATCCACGGCGCAAGTCAAACCTGGCGACAACATAGGTGGAAAGTATTATTCGATTCAATTGCTAATTAGTTACGCCAACCTACACGACACTCGTTCAGCGACCCACCGGTTAGGACAAATGGCATGAACAATACGATTTCGAACAATGGAGATGCGAATAACTGGAATTTTCCCCCTTATTTCTCAATTATGTTGCTGACAACGGAAATTCTAGGTGCTAAGAAAGATGACTCAGTGGTTAAGGCGTCAGCTTAAGGACTAGAAGGTCCGTGGTACGAACCCAACCTCAACATCTCGCCTACTCCAGTCCACTTAGCTGACCTCGTGCCTCGTTCCGTTGAAATGGCAGCTAGGCACCGAAAGGGTGCTCCATCTGAATAACTATTGTATTGTTTAATTTTTTCTGAGTCCGGGAAGATAGAAAAAACGGGAAAATTCGACAAATTGTGGATGGAACCATGTTGAACTAAAGGAAAAGTCGTCCCTAAGCTACTCCGGGACCTCAACAGAAGGAAGACCAGGTTCCAAAGGGTAAATAGGCTGAATACAGACCATTGAGACATATGTCAAAGTCTGATGGAAAGAAGAACGAAATCCTTCGGATCGGCAGTATTCTATGTTGCCGCTATGACAAACAACCGTCCCTTTGCAGAATATGCGGGTCCATGCCGCTTTCAGCTCGTTTGCCATCAATCACTACATTGTATGGACATTTTGCTAACAGACAAGAAATACGACCGACTGAACCTAACTAATGAGTACTTTGTTGAGGATGGAGGAGGCACGGTAACACATGATCCTGTGCTGCAAAAACACCATGATTTCTATAAAAACTGTTTGTGAGGTGAAGTATAATAGGAGAAGCGGATCGCCAATCGGAGGCTAGACACTGCCATGATGACTTACGCTTCCATGCTGTTAAGCAGGTGAAATCCGTCATATCCGCCCAGACAGTAGAGAGTATCATCCACAACCACTAGGCCAGCTCCCTCACGTGAAGTAGTCATATCTTCCAAGATACGCCATTCGTCGATTTTCGGATGATAGACTTCCAAAGAACGGAGACGAGATTGACCATCAAATCCGCCACATACGTAGATAAGCCCTGTTGGTTGGGATAGGAAATGGATACGTGAGACGTATAGCCGGAGCACTCTCAGGTTGTGTACGAACTGGTCCGCCAACGATTAGCCATACTGGACGAAAACAAAGCCAAGTAACATAGCTAATTAGTTAGAAGCGCGATGAGCACAGATTAGTCAAATAGCCCAGAGCAATTTTTTTTCGAAAGCTGTCAGTATTTTGCAGAGGCATCAAAGTAACTTCAAACGCTCAGTAGAATGAGACAAATTCAAATAATTAAACAAAACTAGTGTTTGCTTACCCTTATGGGTGCACGCTGCTGAAAGCCCACGCTTGTAGTGCATAGGAGTGAGCCAACGCCAACCATCCTCGCGCTGGGCAATGTCCAATAAGCACACAGTATTCAACCGTTCACGTCCGTCGAAGCCACCAATGACGTAAACACATGTGTCCAAGGAACACGCAGCCACATAGCGGTAGCTAATCGGCAAATCCTGAAACACACATTGGGTAGCGGTCAGATGATGAATATAGTAGTTTGAATCCAATACCGACACTGAAACTTTACGCTGAAGACTGTAGTTAACTGTGGAAAATCCACTGTTGGGAACGCCGGAAATCTATTAGATAGAAACTTGACGATGGGATGCAGATAGTGAACTAGATGGTAAACCAGTGTCATAAGTCACGCACTTGGCAATGCGAACCGTCTGTATCCATTGTGGTACCTAACCACTTCTTCAGATGCCCACCAAACCAATGACCTAACCTAAGTATGGTAGGTTAGGTCATAGGTTTGGCGTGGTATCGTTTACGAACACAGTTAACAAAGCATGGCGATGGACAGTGAATCGTAGCAGCTGAACATGAATGAGTCTCACTGGAAAAGTTCTCAAGAGGGGTACGTTTAAAAAATCCACAACCGCTGAACAGAAAACCTTCAAATACGCACGTTGATCCAGGAAGCTGCTTCACTTAATCCTGTGTAAACCACTGAAGAAGAGAGTGACTTGGTTCACTGTAGGATCATTTTAGTGAGCGCGTGCCATGGGACAAAACAACTCCGGTAGTCTTAGAAGGAGTTAGAAAATTTGTGGTGCAGTGAAACTTAAGACCTTCAGAGGGACATGATGATTGTTTTATGAACTGTGAAAATTACACCGATCAATTCCAGGCCAGCTACCGTTAGACCATATACAAGTCCGCCCTGCGAAATCGGTTTACTAAGGGCACAGTTTTCCGAAACCACAGGTAGCCGCATTTGAAGTCATCCAGCCCAGCGTGAGCGCAAGTCCCAACGGAGCATGAAGGTTTACCTAGCATTTAGGTTCAAGTGCATTCATTGTTCTAAGACCACGGAATCGGCAAGAGTGGGATGAGACTCATGTGATGGCTCTCAAGAAAGACTGCGCGCCACAGCTGTGGAGTTGCGCAACTCATTTATGACACATTTGGATCAATGTTGAAACGGTAATGCAAGAAATGTCAAAGAAACAAGGGGCAATAACAATCACCATACCAAAATTAGAACAAACCATGGCTGAGAGCGGCACCTCAGGAAACAGTTGATTTAAATGGGTTAGGTACACATTCACTTAAAGTGTCAAACACGGAAAGTCGAAACGGTCCCTAAAAAGTTCTATATTATCTGAAACATCAACATCCTTTCAGAAACAGTCATCTCCTCGAAAAGCTTAGAAGTCAGTTATCGTATTGAACAGATTTGGCTATAAATTTTCAGCGAATTTAAGGGATTCTTGTCAAAGGAGATCGCATTGCTGGAGCTTTGAAAAGCTTCTAATAAAGCTATCAGCACTATAGTGACCATAACAATACAAAGAAGTCCTAATGAGAACAGACCGAGAGATGGATAGGGGTCGCACCCAAAGAGACTCACAGGGAGTTCGTTCCATTCCAAAGTGCGTGGATTGAACATCTCCACTGAATCTGAAGGATTCTGATCGGAGCCAAAACCACCAATGACCACTAGGTACTCATCCCCACAATCCCGCTGACGATAACGTCGCTCACGCATTTCGTGTCTGAGATCTGGACGTAGATGAAACCTCTTGGCGTCGTCCACCAAATCACGACACTCGAGTGACTGACGTATAAGAACCTAGAAGTAGGATGTGTAACAGACGTGAAACTGAGTGAACACAATGTACTCGAAGCTAGTCCACAATAATATTGGCCCAGTACTGAAAAACCATTTATTTGTCTTGATAAAAAATTCGGAAAAAAGTGAACGTCCAGAGGTAATCTCATAGCAAGTCACAAAAAATTACGGAAATGGGGAGCCTTTGAGACCGTATACACTGGATTTCCTCTACTATTGACAATACTACTCAGTGGAAAACTCCGGGGGGAATCCAAAACGGTTCAAAGAACATCCACACTGTGTGGTAACCGATAGTAAATACGATTCTATAGCGGAGCAACTTGAGACAATATTGTAATGGATTCAAGATGAGTTCACAGTACAGGAAGGATGAAGTCAGTGTAGCGGCCCAAAAAGTGGAGTAAAAGGATATGGTTTCTATGAGAGCCGCGAGCGCGTACAGCCATTAAGTATCAAGTATCCTAAGAATAACCCCAGTGACTGCCTTTCTGGATTACTAAAGATTAACATTTCTAATACCGAGTTTTGCAACAGAGGATCTGCTCATCATCACCACCATCAGTAGCAGCAACTCCAGACGAGAACACTAGTTTCACAGTGCCGCACAATCATGCCACGCTATTTGAATATAGCCTTATAATCGAAAGAAAAGGGATGGTGAAATGACTTATGGATAGCTCACCATAAACATCCGAGGTGCCTAAATCTCTAGCACCGATTCAGACAATCTCGATAGGAACTGACAGTATGAATGCTACACGCACCGGCTGGTCGCCATATTGTTCAATATCCCCAGCTGGACGCAATCATGAAAGGAGAACAGCACCAACGGCTAACATGGTACCATTCTCCGATCCCAACCTGGAGGACAAGGAGACTGTGTTGGTCAGAAATCTAACCATTGACCAACCTGGTATGAGAGGCTGTGTGAGGGTCACATGTACACTCCCCAGTACAGCTCAGTGGTTTACGGAGGTGCATAAGCCGTCACAGTGCGGAGAGGTCCAGTCTTTTCGTGGCTCCACTCCTCAAGGAAGGCATCCATCCTATTCTAACTTTAGCCATAGGGCGGCGAACTACAGGATTTCGTTTTAATCTGATTGATCACCCATTTGAATCTTATCCCCACCAGTGTACGCTAGATCAACTAACAAAGGCGGTAATTGGCTATGAATTGCGATACGTAAGTGCTACATGATGAATGACGCCAAAGAACTTATTTGATGTAGTCGTGAGTTAAAACCCAACACGTATCGAATGGCAACAATATCTTTTATTTTTTTTCGATTTGACATCATTTTGAAGTCGGTTTTGCTAGGTTAAGCAAGTTTCAAACAGTATTAAAGGGTATTAACAATCTCGTCGTTACAACATAGGCTTTTCTTGCACTTTTACGTTTGACCATCTTTCTTGTAAGATGAAATCGCACTTCTGGAAACAAAACGACGGATTTTCCAGGGAGGTAACGTAAGGTTAAACAGACAAACTTGTACAGATATTACAAGGAACGCTCGTTACGGACTCTCTTCGGAGTGAAGCGGATGCAACTTACATCTTTATCTACGACGTCTGTCAGGAAACGAACGGACATGACTGGCAGACGAATATGTGATAAAAGAGCCGACAAGTGCGCGATACGTTCCGTAGATTGATGGTAAACCCAACGCATAACCGCTTTGTATACAGACTCCTCGCAGTCAATCTAAAAGGTAAGAAAAACTAGATAAAATTTCAAAACTCGTAGCTCGCTCCAGGCTATGCTTCTAGAAACGGTTTCTTTGAGGTGTAATGGTTCGTAAGACAAGCAAACTGCTTATGCTATGGATGAATATTCTCTATCCCGCCTACAGACATCGAATCCGCTACGTGGCTGACCTAAGCGAAGATCCCATCAGCTTCTCAGGACCCACTACGTCTATTTATGAGACTATTTATGAGGTCAGTCCAACATAAGTCACGCGTATCACGGCAACCGCTAGTGTCAAAATCTATAAAAAAAAATGATGATCTGGCGGTAGGCATACTTAAACAGTTTAAGCGAAAATCAACTGGAAGTTCGCGACGGCAAATTTGCCTTCGAACTGTGGATGTACCGATGTACGGTCAACTCATGGCTGACCATACCCTAATGAAGTGCAACTGAAAGGTTACTACTCAAGCAGCAGCGAAGCAGAAATTTCCGGAATCGTGCATTAAGACTCAGGTTCCTGTTCCACAGTGGCTGATGCTGAAGTTTATTTGTATAAAGTAACTGTTGCAGGAAGTTGTGTTGGAGATTCATCAGGATCTAACGGGAGAAACAACACCGCGTGTAATGAGAAAAAGGAACGTCTTTGCCACTCGCGTGCAGGGAAGAATCATATAGATGTATCGGAAACTATGGAGGAAATTCGACAGATAACTTATCTTCTGGGTGATTGTGGCATTGATGCACCCGTCCTCAAATACCTTTTGTTTAGACAGCCCTTCTGCTCTGATACAATCATTCTGATGTGACCACATCACAGGATAAAACACTGGACTGAACGAGACAGTTATTGGATCACCCTTTAAATCACTCGAGGGGCGGACATGTTCCCGCGTCCAAACGTGACGATCAAGACAAGTCCGGCATACGCTGACGTCTGAGGGGGACGTTCGCCCTGCAGGTCAGACTACGAGTTCGAATTCCGGTAGAACTGAGGCGATATACCACCAAAGAGCTCCAGTGAGAGCGGAACTCTGGTTTGATCCTTGATACTTTGAGCTGGACTTTGCACAAGAAGTGCGTCAGGGCAGGAGCATTTGAAATATTGGCTCTCTTCGACTTATTTGACTACAAAACAGGGTTTAAATCTCTGGGTTGCAGAATTTCGGAAAACCGCTCTCAAAATGTTCTCGATCAACCTGCCTCTTAGTCTATTTATCAGTCCACTTGCATCAACGGTGATATGCACATCCATAGAAGCAACCGGTAATCCTCAGTACGTGTAGCGGAATACGCACCAAAGTATTAGTACGAACAGTGGCACGAAGCATCTCAATACATGACGCACAGACAAGGAATCCAACCTTTACGCTCTCAAAAAAAACATCCCACCACTAATCCATTTTTTATTCCAGGCGATCCTTTAGCAGGTTGATACGAACCTTTGGCAGCTCGCGTTCTATGAAGTGTTGATCAATAAATACAAACAAGTCTTATGTGCATAGAGACCACTTATATAGACTGAGTCAGCTCCGGAAGTAACTCAACCTCAACCTTGTTACCATGTACAAATACCCTTGACGTTTGTCAGTTGTTATTGTGTACCTAACTTCATAAAACTCACCAACTTTACGATTTCGGGGAGAGAAATGTTCACGCAAGAGCAATGCGAATACGCAGCTGCTTTTAAGTACAACAATCAGCCGAGTATTCTTGCATAAAATATATCTGAACGTAATGATTAACTGTTTAATATTGACGGATAGCTCTGCTATTATAGTCAGTTAGCGCTGGCCCCAGTACTCAGAGCACATAATGTTCCCATTCAGACGATCCGTTCCCGAAAGACCTCACCGTTCACATATTGGCATTTTTCTTCAGTTGCGTCTCTGTTCGAATGACCTATAGTATACTCAACCACTAGTCAAGTAAACTAAATTCTTGTTTTTCAGCACTTGGCACTTACAAAATGCCCACGTTCTCTTCACTGCGCACCAGTGTAAATCTCTTTAAAGAACCGTAAGACAGCATTTAGTGGTAAAAACATGTTCCATGATCACCCATCCTTCTAGGTCGTTCGCTTGCTATATTTACTGAATGTCACTGACACCGAACTCTCTCTTCCCGAGTAACCATCTATTTTATTCGTCAAAGGAATGATGCGATCCAAAGAGATGCAGCATTCTCGCACTCACCGATAGCTAATCTACCCTGATCGAAAACGTATGCGAGAGTAACGCATTAAAAAAATACGGCCCTCATTGACTTGGCATTAAACAACGAGTCCTCCAAATACTGAGCAACTAGAGCGCATAGCATCGAAGAAGTAAGGGGGCCACTGTTTATGTGTGAACTTATGATCTGAATCGCCGTCGTTAGAACCAATCACTGATTGATCTACTGTCTACGGTCGGATACCCTGACTGCATCTCAGCTCCCTTCCTCAAACACACAGTTACGTACCGAAAGGATAGTGTAGCTGGAATATTTTGTCCCGCTTTGAGTTCCTGGTTAGATTGACAAACGAATGGAACGCATTGAAAGGGGGGAGACGCGATAGAAAAAGATCTACTTGGGGAACAACTCTGGAACGATTGTGTTAAAGTAGACAAATCGAGTTCTTGGTGAAGCGGCGAAAACAATTGCGCTAGCGGCCAGCACTGCAGTTCAACTTACGTGCAGGTCCTCACGAGCAATCAGGTCCAACAGCTCTTCGTGATTAAGACACAAGAACTCTTCATAATCCGCCACCAGTTCAAAGTTGTGGGCTGCATAGTTTCGGGAGAACTTTTCCAAATCCGAACAATTATGAAGTTCTGCAAACCGCCGGATACCCAGTACATTGGAAGCATCCACCTCTGCCAGTAAAAAGTTTGAGCATGCGGTCTTGACACCTTCCATCTGGACTAGACTGGCAGCCGGAAGTAGGTCTTGCACATTTTCCATCGTAACTCTGACTTGACCCGTATAGACATAGTCCAGCAGAGCATCCATAATATCAGGCGAAATCGACTTGAGTTCCACTTCAAGTTGCGCGGATTCGGCCATCTACGGGTAGAAATAGAACTTGATGGTTTGTGGTGTATGCTTTAGAGGTAACTCGCAAAAGCAGAGGTGGAATGCACATCCACTAAATGAAATCCCCAAACCGGAAGACATTCAAACCAGTAGTGAAGGAAAGCTAGTTGAAAATTCAATCCGGATTGGTAAACGAAAGAACGCAGGAAGAGCATTACAGTAAAAGGCCAACTAATACTGAAGAACAGATTATGAATGAAAAAGAGAAGGATATTCCAAGAACCTTGTGAAATAGTGGAAGATGCCAAATATTCCACACAATGTTCGAATGAAATGCATAACAGCAAAGGTCGGGTTACGTATGTGCGGCTGGTGACCTGGGATTGCGACATAATTTGCGGGAAATATCCTAAGTCTGATGAGAGAAACCGTGACAGTCTTCTTCGATGAGTAACATGTACTGGTTTCCCCATGCCTATGTGTGTTACAGGCGGTTAATTGCATTCAATAATCAGTTATTTCCCACAATATTTCTCATTTGCGACATTCCGTAAATGAATGTGCGAACTCAGGTTTCAGTTGGAACGATATTAATTATATTCCAGTGTGTGGATTGAAAAGAAAGGCTGATAAAAACTCGCGACGGCTCAGTCTACTGGATTTGTTCTATTAAAGCCCCATCATCATAGTTTTATTTCTCACTCGTAGCTGGAAGTAAAAGCTTGTTTGAAACATGCGATAATAATAACAGCAGACTAAACTGAAGAAGATAAACGATAGATCCAGTGGTGTCTCTCGTTGACACCACCTCAATTTGCAAAAGACAGTTTACCTGTACGTGATCCAATTCGCCGTTCAAATAAGAAATAATATTGAGGAACATTAAAAGAATATACCAAATTAGCCAGCCGGAAGTGGAATGAAGCGTCAGTGAAACATTAGCGTTGAAAACTGACGTTATGCTGTCGAGTATGATGAGTGGGCTATCAAGGTTTCATCAATCCTGTAAGTACTGTCATACTACAAATAGTATTCCCCTGTTTCATGTTTGAATACCTTGGTACGAACCGTGAGACAGGAATCTGAAGTTATCTCTATGTGGGAATATCCTGGGGGTCTGGTTACTAGCACAAGGCTGGACACCGCTTGGGATACTTCTCTTCTCTCTTAAACAGTTGATAACAGGACATCTTAACATGAAAAAGTTGCAATATGAAGTATGTTCAAGGGAAAAGTGTTCGAATAATCTAGGACAAACATGAAAGGACTGTGCGATTCAGGTGAAATAGACAGATATCGGTTCATCTAGCGGTTAAAATAAAAACGGAGCAGATTTTAAACGTACACCGTTTGAAAACATAGCATCGAAATAATCACTGGTGGCAGCCAAAACTACCCGATGCGCCAGGAACTCCCGTCCTCCAACCTTGATGACAACATCGCACAACTGTCCACGTTTTCGAAAAGTGTTCATTTTGGTAAACGCCGCCATCGAATAGGATTCGCCAGCTGAGTAAACGAGTGAAAGAGAACCTCATTGTTTGTGCACTTAAATTGCTCAAGTTAATTGTGCATACAAGTGAAGGATAATTCCAACTAGATTTCAATAATGCTTACTGAAACATCAATACGATTACATCTATTCCCATTTCCGGGACAGCCCATATATCTACTCTTAATATATTGAGTTGAATTCTCGGCCGATGATAATAATAGAAGGATCGTAACCAAACCATTTGCAAGTACACCAATCATAGCCACTCCCAAAAGATTGTATGCTTCTCACGTTCTGTTTGGGTTTCAGCGTAGGTCAATCCAGGCGCGCCACAAGACTGGAGTGTGGAAATGGCATGGAGAGCTTGATGATGAGGAGAAAATGGCAATAGGCTATCCGAAGCTTGTAAGACCAAATGAAGTTTGCACAGTTAACCAGTTACAAGGGAGCGGGCCATCCATTGTTGCTTCTGAATTTTTGCTCTCTTTATCGAAAACACTATCGAACAGTAGAAAGCAATGAACCGAGTGAGTACTCCTTATTGCTCTTGTTCGACGTCCAATTGCGAGGATGTAAACCAGGGACTATGAAAAAGGGCCGATTGCTGAGTTGCAAACGATAGAGAAATGGTACTGGATTACATTGGATCACTGTTCTGGTAAAAACTGACATAAATGTACTGGAAATGCAAAAATCTGAAAAATACGGATTAGCAGTCATACGTAAGGCTTGAGAGACACCAGCATATGATGTACATAGCAGGGTCTGGTCTTGTTCCTATAATACAGTCATACATTTACCTCTGTTCTGAGTGCCGGAAACTCATGCGAGTACTAGTACTAAAGGATGAAACAAAAAAGTCCTCGGGTAAGACAGCTGTGGGCAGTACAAGGAAAACCTTCGTTTTAACAAACAAACGTTCTCTAAACCATCTTAATGCGGTCCGAATGACATTCGATCATTACATTTACAAACTGTACATGGAAAACAGAAGCTGACGTTAAGTTTAAATGCTTCCGATCTAACCAGCTGTGCGCCGACACTACGAAGAACATCTGCCCTAAAAGCGGTAGTGTCACGCACTTACTGCCGTGGACAATCCGACAAAATTTTAACGTGCTGGTCGGCAGCAAGCCCGGATCTAATCCCAATAGAGAAGTTTTCGCTGCTACTAGCCAAGCTTGCCTATCGTAATAACTGAAGCTGTCTAAGAATAACTAGAAGTTCAACAGAAGTTCTATACATAAATAAGGAATGTTTCAACTAGTGGCAAAATTGTTCACTATCGTACAAGTAAAAAGGCCGTATAGAACTTTTGAGGAGGACATATAGCATATCTCTGATCCGTCATCAGTACGGCGCTGGATAACCGCTGGAGCATAAGTGCAGCACACAGGTTGTCGCATGATTCGTCTGAGAAGGTATTCACTAAAGTTGTTTTTGTTTCTTAAGTAAGTATATCCTGCTGTGAACAGAGTGAAGTGGAACAAATGTGTGAACCATGTGGACGGAGTCGGCCATAACCCACTTCTGCTCTATTTATACCCATTCAACAAGGCAACCACACTGATGGAACCACTGGACGGTTCGTGCGGTTAGGCGATCAATTCACAATCAATTCAATTCAATGTATCATGCATGAATCATGTGTCATAGGCAGATAGGTTCCAACTGCTACAGGTTCGAAGGTTGTGGAACATACAGACACGGTTACTTCAGATGTGTGCCGATCACAGGCTGTTCCTTTGCAGTACGAATTTCCGGAATAGCGGACATCGCTTGACGTCGTGCCCACCATCAAACCAGCGCCGAATCCAAATAGACCACATCGCCGTCAGTTATCGGTGGCGAGGGTTGATCACTGCCTGCTGCTCCTTCTGGAACACCAGCGTGGACTCCGACCATGCACTTATACGCTACTGCTTTTCATTGCGCTTTTCAGGTGTACGCAAATCGCGCACACCTCGCTTAACTATTGAGAAGCTAGTTGATCCAGAAATCAAACGAAACTATCAGAACCAGCTCCTCGAAT